AAGAGCCTAGCTCAGTGGGTACACCCATAACTGTTGAAATACAGACCCGTGTTTGAATCCATATGATAGAACCTGACGAGTAAAACGAGCTATTTCTGAAATTCAATTGCCTGGAGCCGGTCAGCTCAATGATGATATCGCAAGCCCGTCGCCCTTTTTCGAAAAAGGAAAAAAAAAAAAAAAAAGAGGGGGGTCGGTCACCCCACATAAAGATCGGGGGCCATGTCCCACTTGTCAAGGTTTAGTTCTGCTTTCGAGTATACATGGCTCCCTGCTATCCGATCTGAAAATCTCACGGCTACAGTGTGACCACGTCGAATAATACACGAAACATAAACTAAGCCCCCGCTAGTGGGACAAGACCCTGGAGCTGGGAGCCTTCCCCAGCTTCACTTTTACCGGGACCCAATGGGACCCGGTTCAAACCCAAACACACAGTTTGCAAATAAGGTCAATAAAAGTGAAGAGGGGACAGAAAGGACAAGGGGAAAGGCAAAAAGATGAAAGGGAAAACCAATGAACAGACAACACACTGTATAGTGATGCCTCTAACCTGTAACCTGTCTTTCGTTTCATTCCATTCCTACTACTACTCCCTCCCAAGTCACAGCTATACTGATTCCCTTACATTCCCACTCTACTCCCTCTCCGAGTCCCAGCTACACTAATTCCCACACTGCCTTCTTCTCCTTTTACATTTAACACTTACTTCTATACTTAATATAGAGAGACCCTTGTCTATTAGGGTAGGCCTAACACGCCACCCGAGCGAAAGCTCAACTTTTAACTCTACTGCCTCTCCAAGGTCCCAGCTTCAGCTTGGGGAGTCAGACATATTTTGAACATTGGGGCTCGTTAGAGGCCCTGGACTCAGACTCACAAAGTCAGGTCAGTATCCTGGCTCGACCTCATGCTCACACTAGCACTTTCCAGAATGCATCTGACTCCAATTACGGCCAGTCCTGGATGCATCTGCAGGCAATCCACCCATAAATCACTAAAAAAGTCGTTGTGTGACATGTTGCAAAAATGGGGGCTTCAACTCCACAAAAAACGAAAATTTTGGCAGAGGGGGGATTCTGCTTTAGGGCGTCGCCACACCACTCTCAAAATGCGAAAAAGACAAAAAGGTGGGGGGTACATCTGGCCATGTTCTAGTTCGAAGCCCATTCTCATTTTGCACATTTCGAGAGTGGTGTGACAATGCCCTCATTCACATCTTTTAGGGGCATTTTTAGCATACATCTCAAGTATTGGGGTGTTTTGCAAATTATCTAATTTTTTTTTGTGTCCTATTGCTGCAAGTTCCCTTCTTTTTTTTCCCTTTTTATCCTTCAAAAAAATGGGCGACGGCCTTGAGATATCATCCCATCGCAGTTTTTTGGGGGCAAATTGTTGACATACCCCTAAAGGTTGGGGTATTTCGTTAGATACTCCTAACACAAATGAGTATGCCAAAATGGTCTGAACTTCTGCATCTGCCCCTGTCCTGGTCATCGGCAACTTCGTCATATGCCCTGGTCCTTTGGAGCAGGGGCGCGCATTTCTTTTTCCATTTGCAGGGTACAACAGCCAGAAGTACCAGGTCATATAGACAAATCAGCAAAGGCTCTGTAGGGGGATATGCAAAAGATGATCAATCCAATTGCCGAGTGTGGTATTTTGCAAAGTTTCACAACTGTGATAGGTGCATTTTGCCGCAATCATGCCTCTTTGGGATACCTGAGAAAATACCCCAACTTTTAGGTGTTTTTTCCCTTCTAATTTTTTTTAATTTTTTTTTTTGCACCAATTTCTCGATTTGTGAGTGTTATCCTAAGGATGTCCCGAAGGATAATCCCCCCAGTTCTGTTCATTGGTTTGCTTCAATCGGGTGGGGTTGCCTGTTGGCTTGTATTTCCTCCTTGGTTGAACTAGTTTATGTCCAAGTCGACTAACCAGCGGTCCGGCGGTGGTCAGGGAGTAGGGTGGTTGCCTTGGGCACTAGGCCCGTGATTTTTCTTGTTGGGCTTCCCTTCTAAGGGGGTGAAGCAACCAAACTCTACATCTCACCCGAAAACAAATTTTGCCAATGAGACCTAGTCTAGCATCCTCCCGAAAAGATATGGTGAGTGACAACTTAGATATACTGGCGACTTTGAGAGTGAGTTGGCACTAGCCTTGAATTATTGATTCTAACCATGGATTACAAAGATCAACAATTTCAAATGAATTTTCCAGAATTTTAGTGTAATAAAAAAAAAAAGTATGAAAAACAAAAACTACCCGCTTCTCTTCCTTTTTTCCAAGAGTAAGGAGGGGGAGGAAAAAATGGAACGCCTGGGGCATGCTTGGTGCCAACCAATTGAAATATTTGGTTTGCTGCTCACTGTTGGTATTCGTGGGGTTTTTCAGCATCATAGGTGTATGTGTGTGGGCATGTGTGGGTTGTCTATGGTGTGTCGGAGAGTAATGGAGATAGACACTGCGGGAGGGTAATGGCCATAGACACTGTTGTTGCTTGATCGGTGTGTGTAAATCAGATG